ATTTATTCCGTTTGAACAATAGTTGCTCATGGATCAATTTACTTAATCAAGTTCCAAGGTTTAGAATGCATTGACCACCGTTCAATCACTGAGTGTATTCTTGTCCACCACATTCAGTGCTAATTGATTAATACGAATTTTTGGAACTAACAAAGGCCGAGAAAGCAACTTACATGATCATAACATACCTCCCCCCCCCCCAACTCTGTCAATCTTTACTGTAAACGAAAAGTTGCATGCAAATAGAGGCATTGTCATTTTCCTATTTACCAGCACCTACCGATCTGGAGGCGCCAAATTTTTCCTGTCAAGATGAGTCACGCAATTGACCACTAAAGTAGTTTGCCCATAATAATTGAATTCTCCGCAATCCATCAATCATGAAACCCCGCCCACTCCCCGCCCCCTTCATCCGCTCTCTAATTTGGAAAAAAGGCCAAGGAATTAACTAAATTCGTCATTAAATAAAAGAAAAATAACTTGAAATCCGTGAAGAATAAGACGAAAAAAGACATTGCACCACGAGGATTAATCACAAGGACGAACTCGCCATGCAAATTAAATTTACTCATTAACTGGGTGAGTCACTGAAACCCAGACAACTAAGTGGTTCAACTAAAATGGTTGAAAGACGGAAATTTATCCTCCTAATGTGTATTTGGCTTTCAATTTAAGATTTTCCAAATTTAAGGCCAAAATTAACCAGACCAAGTATATATTCCAAGTCAATCGGGAGAGAGGAAGAACAACACTGGGAATTGACTTCTCAAATGATACCCAATAGAACTTCAAAATGACTGCAATCCTTTTGAACAGGGGAAAAATGATTCTTAATCCAAGTTGTAGGAAAAATGGGCCAATTTTTAATTGAAATCAGAAAATTTTAAAGACTCATAGTTTATAAATTTATTTTATTAGTGCCTATATAGCTCTTAGTTTGGAACAGGTGTGCAATTATTGAACACTTACTCTACCACTTCGGATGGAAATAACGTTTTTGGATTTGTTACTATTTTTCTACTAAAGTGGAAATTTCAAGGCACCTGATCTAGAATTAATCACGTACCTCTAATGATCTTGGACAGGGGAATTTCATGAACACCCAGAGTATATCATGTGATATTGTATCACAAAGAGTTCAAATTCCAAGCTCTGAGAAAATTTGATTCCTGATGTATATGCATAACCAAAATAAACACGTTCACTCTCATGGGAACACATTACTGACAATTTATTTTAATTCTATAAGCAAGAATAAAACATCGATAATACAGATGCAAAGTTGAATCAATAAAGACAAATTTGCATAGTCTAATTAATTAGAGATTGATTATTTTAGTGTTTCTACTACTACAGTTGTAGCTTAACTCACAGGATTTAAAGTACCAGCTGATCAAATCTAAAAAAGAACAATTTGATTGGTTTGAGAAATAACCAATGAGAAAGCAGGTTGTATTAGCAATAGCCTATCGATATGTACACGTTAGAGAAACAAAATGATTGGAAAAAGTATCAGCAAAACGGCTGCTTATCATAACTCAAAAATGTGTGTGCTGATATGCTAAACCCCGCTAAAAATATTCTAAGGAATGACAAGGTTAACAAACGAATTCCCCACTTAGTAATAAAAAAAAGAAGGAGGAATTCGCTCTTTAAAATAGAAAGAAACGAATATTGCAAAAAAGAGAATTTTCGGCCGGCTTTGAAAAAATCCCCGTTTAAATACAAAATAAGATAGTTCTTCGTTTACAAGTGGGAGGCTTTTCTTTTCTATTAATCAATAAAATGTGTGTGTGTGTGTGTATTCATATTCCAAGCGAATTTGGTTAATGAAAGTCCGCTTTATCAAGTAAGAAGAGTTAACATCATTTCTTTTAAACCGAGAAGGCGTCCAGTTACTGTTGAAAGGGTTCACAAAAGAAGCAGCTCGGAGTAAAGTCTTTGCATAAAAAGAATTTTTTTAGTGAGACGAATTCGAGGTTCATTGGGGGGTTAGAGAGGCACCGCAGGCTAGAATTCGGGAGCTAACAACTTGGTGGCTAAACAGCAGTTTGCGGTACTGGCTTCCACATCTGTGCACTTCCAATTTCCCACTGTGAAAAACTTTCATTGGTTGATGAACGATGAACAAAGGAAAAGAGGAATCATAGTTTCCTCATCCACTCTCAACTTATCACTTCCTTTCTAAATACCAAAACCACTTCATACTAATTCAAGTCTTTTTCGTTCTCAACGCCTCACGTTTGTCAAATAAGCATTCTAGTCTATCTGAGCTCTTAATCTTCCCACTTTATGAAGAACTGTTAGTCTTTAGGGCCATCCCTTTTATAATGGAACTTCCTGAACTTAAAGTACCTTTGTGGTTTTAGGGATTTAAAAAATTTTCGGTTTCTCGTATTCGAGGTGTTCAGATATTGTTGACAGATTAGCCAGTCAACCTCAATAGAGAAGCCGAGTGGTACTAATGCGGAGTGCTCACTAGATCTCCTTCAAGGTAAACCAAAGTATGCAATTATAGCCAATAAAAACGAAATAAGTTGTAAGCAAAAAAGGATAGGGTGAATTAGGATCTCAAACTGATTGCAGATAAAGGCAGAGATGAAGAAAATTCACTTACGACTTGGAGAGTTGAGCTGATCGTTTCTCCTCTTCAGTGAAAAGAGCCTCAGAGTTACCCAATGCTGACTGGAGACGTTTGACTTCAGCCACTAATTCCTCAGAACGTGTTTCAGCTGCAGCAAGCTTATCGAAGACGGCGTCGACAGATACAGAGACACCATTGACTTTCGAGGAAGGTGGAGGTTGTTGTTCCAACTCATGCGTGAGTGTCTGGAGTTTCGATTCAAGGTCGTAGATTCGGGTCTAAAAGTTTTCACAATACAAATGCAAAGATAGTTAGAGTGATTGTAAGGAGTTATTACATTAATTGCTAGTCAACAATGAGCTAGGCTAAAATGGAATTTATACTCAAGATGAAGGGGTGCGCAATAGACTTACCTCCACGTGGTGCACCCTGGGCAGCGTATACTCATACGGCAAAAAGGTCCATTAATCGGCAGTTGACTTCTGACTTCTAACTACCATCACCCCACTGGAAGTCATATTCGGCTACTTCCAATGGACTCACATCACCTTTTTTCTACCTTTGTGTCTGCCTCTTTTACATCTCTGAAACACTCTTCTGTTCCCACCCCCCTTTCGACCTTTTTTACTTTGATATTTCTTCTCTTCTGTGAAGCCTGAAGTCAACTAAAGGGCTAATGATAACTATCATAAAGCCTGAAGTCAACTAAAGGGCTAATGATAACTATTTAATGATAACTATCCAAACGTGAAGCCTGAAGTCAACTAAAGGGCTAATGATAACTATCATAAAGCCTGCCATTTGATATAAATAAATACTCAAGATGAAAGGTTAAACAAAGAACTCCTATCTGGGTTCAGCTATTTTAGAAATTTACGAAATAATGATCTAATGAAATGAATAGAAACAATATTTCAGACCTAGAGAATGAGAACTAACTAGATGACCTTTCAGCAACTTGCACACATTCTTCCCACTTAGTAAATCCACGCCAAAGTTACATGCCACTCATATTGACTAGTATATGCTAAAATATTAGATAAAATTCTTTAAATCAGATAAAAATATGAAAATCGCTTAGTAAATCCTTGACGCCAAGATAGCAGGATTTAAAACGAGTAATAACAGAATGATATTTCAAAAATTAGATCTTATTCCAAATTCTTCCGACCAAAGCGCTCGACACAACGCTCCAAGAATGGTTCAGAGGCAAATTCCAGAATGACAACATTGACCATATTGAAGACATATATATATATATAAACAGAGAACGAGGATATTTATTTATCAAATCTCCTAGAAATCAAAAGGAGAGAACAAGTCAGAATTAATTTGAATTGACTGCTATTAATTAACTGCTATATATGTATCCCCCCCCTTGGGGGAAGCTGAAGTCAAAGTTTAAGGGGGCTAATGATAAATATCATAAAGCCTGCCATTTGAAATAATAATAAATTTGAATTGACCGATCGATACTCGAAAAAAGACATTTAAAAAGAAGATCGATGTGGTTTCTAACATTTGGCCAGTTTATTCCTACTAAATCAAAAGAAGTAAATATCTGAAACTTGCTGTAGTTTCCCAATTAGGCGAGGTAGATATTAAATACCTATTTTCTAAAAGTGCTTTATTAAAAAAACAACCTGCATTCCACCATTCGTAAACAATACCGGCAAAAGTCCAATTCAAATCCAAGCCGACATTTGAAGAGCACATAATAATAAAATGCCAGCCAATAAAATAAACATTCGAAAAGAGAAAAACAGGCTTTTGGTAAAAGGATATTTAGTGCAGTTGCCCCATGGAACGAACATAAGTAACTACAGTGAAGTTACTTTATGCCAAGATTTCAAATCTCTCTTGACATGCAGTAAGATAAATTGAAAAGGCCAAACGTATAGATGAATGGTAGTTAGTAGTGCCAAACCAACAGCAACCCCTCCTGTTGAACAAACACCATCCTCTGACACTACCACTTTAGTCTGTCGGCAATATATAAAGAAGTCATTGACGACTGGCTCTAGATTAACTGGCAAAGATGTTGGCTCAGCCACTTCAGGTCTTACGGGGTTAGCAGCTCAATGTTGTAAATATCGCAGTTGCGATAAGGAGACGCCAATCGCCTATTTCGGCACAAGTGATGCAGGGAACACGTGCTGAAATTCAACTAACAAACCACGAAGTCCTAAAGCATTATATATGCATATCGACACATTTGCCTACTTCCAGTAAGAAGTTTACTCCAGGAGATAAACCAAGGAGCAAGTGGAGATCGCATTCCACTAGCTCCACCTTATCATGAATAACAAGCGAAAGGTTCATTTTCAATTCATATTAACAAAGAATTTGGCTTAAATATAGGCAGTAGAGAGAGGGAGAGAGAGTTAGATGTGGATTACCTCAGCATCTAAGCATTGACAGGAAAAAAATTGAGACACGGCATAGGGAGATCCAACTTTTGGTGAAGACCAATCAGATGCATTGCTAATAAAGTGTGGTCAAGGTAAATCTCATTTAACCCTTTAACACCCGAAATCTTTATTGGAAAAATGCACCCAACCGCACTCGCGCGTGCCTCACAACAGCAGACTGAGGCCACCGATGCGATGAGTTTTGGTGGTGTATCAGACAAAGGCTATAGACACGTATTGGACATGCTTAAAACGGCAATAGCGCCTTCTGTTAGGAGTCTGCCACCAATGGAGGTACTGCGTACGGTCCTGGAGGGCAGTAAATGATATGAAAAATCAAAAATAAAGATTCAGACAACATTTAAAGTAAGGAAAGACAACTTCTTCACTTGAAAGGGGGTTTTAGATAAATGATAAATTAAAGATGCGAGGCACTCATGCGACAAAAATTGGAATACAAATAAAGCTTAATACACAAGCGAAAAAAATAAATTCTCACTTAAACAAACAATTCCTACATTTAAAACATGATTTATACTGGGATTCAGAGATGTTGGAAAAAGTTGCATTGATGAAGTGTGCGCAAAAAAAAACCGAGATTTTAAAATCGAACAATCCAATTGTGGATTTCAATGTCAGCATGATAATCGAAAAGATCAAAGTCATTAAAAAGATAGGATTTTAAATTGAAATCGGAGGGTTCAGGAGGGACATAAAAGTGAAGAGAATTTAAGAAAGGATACATGTACGATGCGATTAAAGAGCAAACTCGCTATAAGGATTTCAAGATGCCTGAGTTTGTAGGCTATCGTGGTACACTTTGAAATAAAAGGAAACAGGTGTTTTTCGACATCGAAAATAGCGATGGAACAGTGGAGAAGAACGTGCTCAGATTGAAGCAGACGCCTCTAAGTACTATTAAGCAAAACTTAAGCTACAGTTTTAACCCATTAACGCCCTGTGGGACCATACGCTGTCCTCTTTCAAAATAAATAACCTCCATTGGTACTAGACTCACAACAGAAGGCGCTATTGACGTTTGAAACAGTTTTCAATACGCATCTATAGCCTGCGTCTGATACACCACCAAAACTCATCACGTCGGCGGCATCAGTCTGCTACTGAGACACGCGCGAGTGCGGTTGGGTGCATT